CGCTGTCCCGCTGTCCCGCTCTCCTGCTCTCCTGCTGTCCTGCTCTCCTGCTCGCGCGGGGTGAGCGCGGCGTTTCGCGGTGTTCCCACGAGTGACAGAGAGCGGGGAGGGTCGCCGGGAGCCTCCCTCACGGCTTATTCGGTCGCGTTCGAAGCGGTGTGGAAACGCCAACTTTGGGAGCGAGACCGGGTCCCCCTGTGCCCCAGGTCTGGGTCTCTTAAGGGACGCGCCCCGTCCCCAGCCTGCCGCGATGACCCTTTCCCTGTCCCTCGGCAGCTGGCAGCGCAGGCTGGTGGTCACTCTGGGGTCCCTACAGGAGAGAGCCGCGTGATCCAGAACCGCGGGGTTCTCTTAAGTCTCCAGCTTCAGCCAGACCGTGAATTCCTGGGCTCGCAGGCTGGGAAAGCCGTATCCATAAGGATCACTTCACAGTTTATTATCTTCTTGTTTTTAAAACATACTCCGGGACTGTACAAGTCAGTCTCTGGTCTTCTTTTTCAGATCAGAGAATTCACTGAAGAATTTCTGTTTTTGAAAGGAAACGGGAAGCAACATGAAGTATAATTTAGGTACTACATTATCCATGCTTTTTTAACTAAAAAACGACATTTTTTTTTTTTTTTTGGAAGACCAAACTGAAATGTGGGATTAGAGGTGAGGAGGGATTTTAATATCCAAATACCATTTCCTGAGGATCTTTCCTTAGTTCTTTCCACCTGTAGTAGGCAGCTGAGCTGGTGGTGTTTACTGTTGAACACCAGGCCAGAAGCTTCCTAAGCAGGCACTTTGACCCAGCTGAAGTCCTTAGGATTAAAAGAGAAAGTCCGTGGTTCCAGTGTCCGCTCCTCAGAGCCTTAAGGGGGTAAAGTGATCTGATACCTTAGAATTTATCCCGCTGTCCAGGGGGAGACTCGTGGTTCTTTGATGCTTAAGGTGCCTCATTTTTATGTCAGTAACTCGACTGAGACCTCCGTGCAATCTTCCTTATCAGTCTGTTCAGGTTAGTGTTGCCAAAAATCCCCAAGATATTGCCAAATCCATGTGTAAAGGTGATAATCCAAATACCCAGGAGGTCTACAGCTAAACTGAGGCTGTGGAATTCCTGGTGAAACATCCCATTATCCTTGGCAGGGAGGATGAATTTCTCAGGGAAGACAGAGTTATGCCACACCAGCCCGTAATAACCCATAACATTATTTTGAAAATTTCAAGGCCTCTCTCTGGTCTGACAACTCTTCAAATTAAATATTGTGGAAATTAATAATATAAGCGTATCTACCTAAGGATCATATACATACTCTCAGAGGCACTATGTAGTTCAGGTCACTTGTGGCTTTTGAAATATTTTACATATAGTCATGTTCTGTAGTGATGTTTAACATAAAAATAATTATAGAAATAGCATTACTCTGTTTCATCTGTTAACAATGTTACTTTTCTTACCAAATAGTCTAAGAATTCTAACTTATCAGCTGTATATGTTTGTTTATATTTTTAAAGTACTTAAAATACTTTCCTTTTACATTATTTTAGGAGTCATAATAGTTTGATTTCTTCAGCCAGGTGCACACCCTGGCATTGAAGTAAATAATATGAAGGAATATTATATATAGGTACATATACCATTTGTCATGCATACCATTTTAAATTTTATTTTAATTAGAACATGTTTGCAGTACATAATGACTGCGTTTATCACGGGAGTTGGTACATGTATACAGCACATCTTAATTCTCTTTTTGGCTTCTACCCCTCTCATTCTTCCCTGTTCCTTCCAACCTTTGGTCCTCTTGCCACTTGCAAAAGTTCTATGTCCATTTTTTTCCTTCAATTCTTTTTTTTCCATCATCTTTCCCTTCTCCCCTCCACCTCCCCCATCTCTTATTCCCTTTCCCATTTGAAAAAGATCTCCCTACTTCTTATTTTCTGTGTTTTATTTTGCTCTTCATTTATATTTTGGGCTTCTCATACCTTTTGATATCGTTTTATTTCTATATGAGGTGATACTTATATATATATGTAAATGTATGTGGGGGTATACTCTCAGAGGGGAAGAGATACTTTCATGATTACTATACTGTATTTTATGCAACTCATCTGGTTTATTCTAGTGACATGGACATTTGCTGGCTAGAGTAGACCTTAAGTTCATCCCACAAACATTTCCACAGTATCTGTAAGTGTGTGGCACAGTGAATGCAAACTTGGATTCAAATCTTGTTCCTCTTGTAGTATCTAACTCATTTTGCAGAACTGAATCTACAAAAGTAGGGAGGTTACAGAATTGCTGAAGTTTATGTTAAACATGCATAGGTTTTCAGTTAACAACTGCACAGCATTCCTTTTTTTTCGTTTAATGAACTACCGAGCAGTCTGGAAAATGAGCTGTTGTTTGTTCATCCGCCTTTATTCTGCTCATTGGTGTTTGGAATAAATGCCTGTCACTTAGAGACTCGAGGTGGCCCATTGGTGACTAATGGGGATGGTAGTCTCCTCCCCTCTTGCTTAAGTAGTGTGAGTTATTCTTTCTCCAAATTGAGGGCCGGGAGCCCCTGGGGGCCTAGCTCTTACATTCTAGAATATACTCTACATTTACAGGGGGCTTAGTTTGCCTTTATGCTTGCTGTGAGTGCTTTTACCACTCTACACCTGTGGTTGGCTGTGGTTGTATGGGGACTGCTCTTAAAGACTTCCATTGGCAGTGCCAGACCATGGTAGTTTTTAATGTCTCCTTTCTTAAATATTCTGTCCAAGTGACTGAGTGTCTGTTGACATCTCAGGTAGCTAAAGACGTAGCTCATGTTTTGTGCATGGTTTATGTTTCTCCATCTTAGTCAAATGCTTGGAGCCTGATGAATTCAGAGACACAGGCAAGAATGTAAAGGAGAGGATTAAAGAGTAGGGATTATAGAGTAGGGATTTAGAGTTGGTCGTTTTTATGGCAGGCACATTTTAATTTTTCAGAAAGTATTTTACAGATTTTAATCAGTGGGACTATATAACTCTGAAAGTTCGTGTAAATTGGATTTCATTTCACCACCAGATTTGACCAAGGCAGGTAGAGCCCAAGTAGAAGCCAGGAGGGAAGAGACATAGTCAGAAGGACTCCAGTGAGGAGTTTTTGCTTCTGTTCATGAGTGGGAAGACTTTGGCAGCTTTGTGTGAGCCAGAGATAAGAGCTTCCCTGAGAAGGTTATTGTGACCTGTTCCTGATATGGCTTGTTGGGAAGGGATTTGAATCCAGCGTTCATGTTCTTGGACTTCTTTTGCTTTTGTCTTTTTTTTTTTTTTTTTTTTTAAACTCTAAAACAAAGTCTAAGTGGGACACAGATGTGTTATTGATAGAGAAAACAGCAGTGTTTATGGTGGGAAGGAAGGAAGAGCAGGGCTTAGAAAGAAGAGGGAAAGGCATCTGGTCTACCTTTGCTTGCTAGTTTGAAGAAGGAACATTTTGATTGGAGGAGCCTGGCAGGTAGAAGAGTAGACGCTCAGAAGTTACAGTGGAGAAACAGGTGGGGTCGTCTGCAGGGACAGAAGTGCTGTCAGGACCTTTGAGAGACAGCTGCCCCCTGAGGTTGTCCTGTGGGCTGCAGCCCACTGGTGTGATGTGTGTGTATGGGGCATTGCTTCAAAGAGTGAGCTTTGTGGAAGAATGCCCGAAACAGTGTGTACTTTTTCCTTATGAATATCTAAGAGTACCTATAAATAAACTGTATTTGAGAGTGGGAGATGTGACCTGCATTTGGATTTTTTTTTCATTTAGTTAGCCAAGGGGAACTGTAATGTGTCACTGTGTTCCTTGGTCCTACTCAGTGTCACCTTCACTCCAGCTGGAGGCACAGACCTGAGAAACACTTCAGTCCTCAGTTCTGAGGTGGGTGGAGATAGCTATCTTCCTTTTGGGAGTTAGCAAGCTCATACTTAAGTTGATGATGTTGTGCCAGTGACATCAGTGTTCACAGTAGGTGAATATGCTGTTAAAAAAAAAATGCAGAACACTGTCTTGCAGCCTAAAAGGCCGCGTAGCTGTTTTGCCAGGTTCAAATCATACAGAAATAAATCTTTGATGACATCTGGAAATCTGTCACTTTCCTAATTGTGTAGGCCGTTAACATAAATTATACAGTGTTACTATTTCTAAACATATATGTATATGTAGCTTTATAATACTAAAGGGACCTAAATAGTAAATATTTAATCTCATGAGAGTATGTTTTTAAACATTTATTTAGCTGTAAAGTGTAGTGTCTCATTAGATATCACAACAGCTTGATACATTTATTGATTTATTACATGAAACTCGTTCAACCCTTGAAAAACCCCTGTGAGGTAGATAATCTTTTTCTTAATCTTTTTCTTTCATTCTTATAGTAATGAAACTTCTTGGAGATGTTAATGATTTATCTAAGTAACATAATAGAAGTGAAATTGGAATTTGGAATCAAAGCACAGGCTTGTGCTGTGCAGAGAATGCTCATAGCCTGGAGAAACAGCGCAGTGCTGATTTGAATGTGTTGACTTTGGAGCAAGGCCTCCCAGTGGCTGTGGTAAACAGATTGGAAAAACCTGGGAATGAAGTGCGGATACATTGGCTCCCCATGAAACTGCCTTCAAATACCTCGTGCCTATTTTTGTGACTTTAATTGACTGCTATAATTTTTTTAAAATCACACTTACAATTTCAAACTTTGAATCATTCTTAAGCATGTACAGATTAGTCAATATAATAGTTTGCTAGGGGCTGCTGTATTAGCATACTACAAACTGAGTGACTTGAACAACGAACTTCCCCACAGTTCGAGGGGACAGAGTCTAGGATCAGGGTGTCAGCAGAATTGGTTCTCCTGTGAGGAAGAATCTGTTCCATCCTCCCTCAGCTCCAGAGGGTTTGCTAGCCGTCTTTGGTGTTCCTTAGACACACGTGGCCCCAGTGTCTGGCTTCATAGTCCCAGGCATTCTTCCTGTGTGCTTGGCTGTCTCTGTGCATTCTCTTTAATAAAGGACAGGAGTCCTACCAGATTAGGTACCCACTCAATTTCAGGATGACTTTATCTGAACTAATAATGTTCTATAATGACACTATTTCCAAATAAGGTCATTTTTCTGAGTTTCTAGAGGTGAGAACTTCAATGTTCACATTTTGGAAGATGTGTGAATTAAGGAATATGACCCTTACTATGCATGACTCTTGGAAGGACTAAAACTGGTTCATAGTGCATCACTGAAGTAGGCCAGCCACTGTGTGGTGTCTGTCCTGAGAAACCATGCTGACTGAGCAAGACTAAGGTGGATTCCTTGCTGGTGTAGCAGTCATTGTTGGAAAATGGTTAGAGTAAACATGATGATGAACTGTTGTGATAATGGTAATATGAGGTTTAGGTATGACAAGTCTATTGACTGTGAAACCAAAGATCAGATTTCAGCTATGACAGTTCTTAAGAAAGTAGACAAATCCCAGCACTTGGGAGGCTGAGGCAGGAGGATCACTGCAAGTTTGAGGAAACCTGTGCAACATCGTGAGCTCAAGGTCAGCCTGAACTGGGTGGCGAGACTTTGTCTCAAAAAACCAAAAAGAAAGAAAAAAGTAGACAAAATATTTATCTTTGAATTCAATCAAACTTTTGCTTGAGGAAACCATTGGTTCAGATCATCTTTTTATATTTAAATTTATGTCTTTATTTTTAGGCATTTACATGTTATTTTTATATGTGTATTAATAACTATATATAGTTATATAGGTAACAGGAAGGTATATGTGCACATATTTTTATATGTGACTTCTTTATCATTGAATATGCATGAGTCTGCAATTGCTACACTTTTATTTGTGACAATATTTGTTCAAATCCATTTTTACTTTACTTTGGCAGGATTGGTTATTTTACAGTCACAAGATATAAATCTTTGCTGGTAATATTTGTAGTTAACTAAAAAATTTGGTTTGAAGAGAATTCATGGATAAAAGTAAGAAATTCATGAATTGCAGAGTTATATATTGTAATGGTGGCATGTTAGAATTTATATGGATTTATGGTGGAGCAGGGAGGAGTGGTTAGAATGTTTTGGTTTATTTTTGGTAGCCTCAAAACCTTTCTGGTTTGTAAATTATGGAGACTGCATATGGTAACATTTTTTTCCCCAATGACTATATCATGGGGTGGCTGCTACTTTTATTTTAAATAGCGTTTTATTTTTGAATAGTTCTAGATTTATAGTAAAGCTGTAATGGTATAGAGTTCCTCTATTCCTGTATAGACATTCCTCCGTTGTTAACATCTTACTGTGCTATAATACGTTTGTCCTAACCACGGAAGCAACACTGGTACATTGCTATGTGAAACACCAGTTTTTTTCTTTTTTTGGTTGTCTTTTTGAGACAGGGTCTCCTTATGCAGTTGAGGCTGGCCTTGAGCTCACTTTGTACCCCAGGCTGGTCTTGAACTTGCAAGGATCCTCCTGCCTAAGCCTCCCAAGTGCTAGGATTATAGGCATGCACCACCACGCCCAGCTGAAACACCATTCTTAATTTGGATTTCACTAGCTTTTCCCTAATGTCCTTTCTGTTTTTGATCCAGGCCAGCAAATCAGTTACATTTAGTTCTCTTGTCCCCTTTGGCTTCTGTAGCTGTGACACTTTCTTTGACTTTTCATTGTTTTTAATGACCTTGACAGTTTTGAGGAATATTGGTTGGGTATTTTGGTATTTTGTCCTTCAGTTTTGGTCTCTGCTGTTCTCAGGAGTAGACTAGGGGTGTGGGATACTGAAAGGGAGTTTGTGAAGGTCGTTCTCATCTCATCCTACCAAGGGTACAGTGTGTCCGCATGACATCATTCATTACATTAGTATTATGGTCTGTGTCTGGATGACCCCCCAGAGCCTTATGCAGTCATGGGGCAGGCTTTTAAAGTTTATGATTGATCCATGATCCAATGCGGGGATTATGGGTGTGAGTGCTACACCCTCCCTGGGGCAGATAGTTTGCATATGTGAGGCAAAGAAACAGGCTGCTTGCTGCAGCTTCTTCCTTTTGCTCTGGCTGCTTTTGCTGTCTTCCACCCCTGTGAATGGTTGCCCTCTGCTATGTGCCACCCTGCCTTGGAGCCAGACGAGTATGGACTGAAACCTCCACAGACTGTGAGCTAAATAAACCTTTCCTTCCTTAATTTTGGGCTTTGAGTATTTTGTCTCTGCAACAAGAGAAAAGTAAGACAGTCACGATCACCCAGCTGAAGGGTGCTTGTCAGCTTTCTCTTGTGTGTCTGGTGATGTTACTTTCCTCCCTTTCTACCCTGTTCTTTAAGAAGCAGATCCCCCAAATACAGCTGCATTTAAGGGAATGTGGGTATCTATGTAAGACAGGACTTTTTGAGTTACAAATTTATATTGGTCATATTTGTATAACACCTTGCCCTGCCATTGTATTCTATATGGATTCTGTCTTTGTTTACTGAGACCTCTTACACTGGGAAGGTTTTGTAGGGGGTGAGCTTCAGGGCTGCATTTTCTGACCTCTTCAAACTGGGTATAACATACTGTGAGGTACTTTGATGTGGTCACCTGTCTGGAACAGATAATCACACAGCTAAAACAAGGGACAGGGAAGCACAAAGTAACAGAAACCATTCGAGATCACAACTCTCTGAATATTTAGGAATTTTGGCTAGGGAATGATTACTCCTTTACATTTTTCCACTTAAAAATATTTTGGCCCTTTTATATTGCAGCCATTCTGAAATATTGCATCATTGAAAATGTTCATTATGAATGTGCTACAATAGTGTTTTCCTTACCAACAGCCCCCTGTTACTGCCTTACCAGAAGCCTAGATTTTGAAACTGGATTCAATCTGCTTTTCTTATATTTTGAATCTTTCTTTGCCAGCTGCCATTTCTTGGGGCTGTCAGTGTTTCTGCCTTCAGCAGTTTCCTTTCTGATTTGCTGTTTATAACCTTCTGTGAGTTTAGAATCCAGAACAACACACTTGTGAACCATGTATGCCGCATCAGTCTGCATAGCCTGAGATAAGGTCTTAGAGCTCCTTTTTGTTCCAAGCAAGTGTAAGCATTAAGAATGCTAGAGAATGGCTGCTAACCCATTTATATAACTGCCCAGGGCTTTTATTCTACATACTTGCTGCAAGTAGAAGGGCAGGACTGGCTATTTTATTTCTCCGATTTCATACAGGCTTGTTGCAAGCCACCTGCTTTATCTGCTATGCACTAATTGCTTTGGGAATGAGTAGGAGCCCACTGTTCAGGTGTATAAAGAAATGTAGATTTGACCCCTTTGAGCTGAGATTTAATGTTTAGTGGGAATTTAAAATGCATAGTCATAAATAGTGATTGGTTTTTTAAGCAGTAACATAAAAACACAAAAATTGGCTTTCTTAACAGTGCTTACATGGGCACATCATACCCACTACCTTTGAAAATGACCAATCAAGAAATAAAGCAAGAAAATAGCTAGAATTAGAATATGCATTTGAAGATACTGGCTATTTATTTTAATCATTTATTAGCAAAGCAGAAAAACCATATGTACTGTATTAGAATGATAAATGGCGGTCACATCCCACCATGAATTTGATGTTACACTCTATGTGATTAATGTGTACACATACTAAAGATCAGTGTCAGCAGGAGCTTAAAATGCCAGTGTTCTTATACCATGGCATGGACAAACTAAAGTACAAACCAGTTAGAACAGCATAGCATTAAAGGCGAAAGATGTGTTTTAATGGTTCGTTAATTCCTGTAGGAATTGTTTCCTGAGAGTCTTTCACAAGGAGAGGTACTAAGGCCCAGCCCAGGGCTGTGCTGGTGGTAAAGTACCCACTATGCAGTTGGGAACCAAACTCCACCAGGAAGTAATTAGCAGTTGTTGGCTGTGGATGGTTTTAGGGGGTGCAAATCAAGGTCACTAGGGGGCAGTTTTACATGTGGTGGCTAATAAGAATGTTATTCATTCAGGAACAGAACACATTCTTTGCAGAACTTTCTGTAATTTGCAAAGCAGATAGAAAAGCACCATGAACTTTGTAAGAATCTAGTGAGATTCTTGTGTTCACCATAGGGCTTAGCTCTTTTGCTAGATGCTTTTTGGCCTAACTTATTAGAGTAGACTCACTGCAACAACAAATGTGCAGCTTCAAAATCTCACACCAATCTTGTTCTTAATTCATTGATTTTCCTTGAGTAAGAATGTAGATGTGAAACTTGCATCGGCTTCTCTACATCTTTTTACTATTTCTTTTAAACTCAAAATTATTTCTGAGACTATCTTGACACCATCAAATGTGAGTATTTTACTATTGAAAACCTTTTCCTGATTATAAAAGTAATATATTTTTAAGTAACATTCAGGAAATGTGTTTAAATAGAACTTGGAAAATACAAGAAAAGTATAAGAAAGTACCAGTAATACCTTTAATTAGCTATTTACTTACATTTTTGTATATTTGCTTTTCAAATTTTTATATTAATATACTATTGAACATCATTCTCTATAAAGTTAATATACAGTGAGCATTTCTCCTTAGATGGAACAATTTCTTTGAAAACAATACAGATACATTTTTAATTGGCTGAGCAATATTTTACTATGTATGATTTAAAATTTGTTGAACCAGTTCTGTATTATTGGTACTTAGTTTGTTATTGTTTTACTGTTAAATGCAATTCAGAGCACATCTTGTAGGTAATTTTTTCTGTTATTCATATAACCTTTTTTAGATAATTATTTTAGAAATTTACTTACTAGGTCAAACAATAGGAACATTTTTGTTCCTTTTTTGACCTCTTCTAGAAATAAATGTCATTGTCTAACCAGCACTAAATTATTCCTTTTTCTTTTTCCCTCAGCTCACCACCCTGGGAAATCTTACACCTTCAAGCACTGTGTTTTTTTGCTGTGATATGCAGGAAAGGTTCAGACCAGCCATCAAGTACTTTGGGGATATTATAAGCGTGGGGCAAAGACTGGTATGCTTATCTATTTGTTCCAATTTGCTGAAACATGATATATATTCATGTATACAGTCGTATATATATATATATACTGCTAATTGTTTTTGTTTTTATTTTTATTTATTTATGTATTTATGTTTTTCAGTTACAAGGGGCCCGGATTTTAGGAATTCCAGTTATTGTAACAGAACAATACCCTAAAGGTCTTGGAAGCACTGTTCAAGAAATTGATTTAACAGGTGTAAAGCTGGTACTTCCAAAGAGCAAGTTTTCAATGGTGTTACCAGAAGTAGAAGCAGCATTAGCAGAGATTCCTGGAGTCAGGAGTGTTGTATTATTTGGAGTAGAAGTAAGTACCTCTTGTTATACTTTGAATACAATATTACTTGTAAAAAGTTTGATATTTTCTGGTTTTTTTTTTTTTGGTTTTTTCTCCGGTACCGGGAACCGAACTCACGACCTTGCACTTGCCAGGCAGGCGCTTTGCCGCTGAGCTAAATCCCCAGCAGTTTGATATTTTCTGAATGCTGGTTTGTTTATGGAATGCCATGTATCTAGTAATCATGGTAGAAAATAGCCACTATTTATTAAGTGTTCACTATTTGTGTGACACTGTTCTGTATACTTTGTCTCTGTTGGCTCATTATACCCCCACGACAGCACTCTGAGCTGAGTACTCTTTTTTTTTTTGTTGTTTTTTTTTTTGTTTTTTTGTTTTTCTCCGGTACTGGGAACCGAACTCACGAACTTGTGCTTGCCAGGCAGGCGCTTTTGCCGCTTAGCTAAATCCCCAGCCCCTGAGCTGAGTACTCTTAATGCCCCCATATTATGGATGAGGCAGCTAAAATACAAAGGTATTATAACTTGCTGAAGTTGGACAGCTGGGGAAGGGTAAGGCTGGACCTGAATTTAGGCTGACTGATTTTTAGAGTGTACTTTTTAATCTTTTGAAATCGTTTAATCATTTGTAACCCATGTTCACCAAAGGCATTACTTTTATTTTATGTGTTGCAGGATTTCATTTTGCCTGTATTTTTATGCTACAAAAGCCTTAGCAGTCTTGGAGTTAGTTTTCAAATTTGAATCATGCAGATAACTTTTTAAAGGAAAAAATACTCATAGATTCTTAATGATGATCTCAGTTGTTGTGTTCCTAGCTTTTAAACCAGCAATACCCTAAAATTTTAAAAATAATGAACAAAACTATTATGATAATGAAATCAGGATAACAATACTAATTTAATATGGTTATGACCTTTCAGTAGTAGGCTTTACAGTAGTAGTTTTTAATTGTGAAAAGATGTAATCTTATGAATAGATATACATTAAATATTTATATTATTTTTGGTTCAATAATGATACTATAGAGGAAGCTTATTTGTATAAATATGCCATACCAAGTGCTGTTGCTGACTTCTGCATATTTTTCTTGTTCATCATAATTAGACTCCATGCGTAAAATTCTCTTTAAACAGTCCTTTCATGCTAATTTCAATGTTAATACTTATTTTAATGAAGTGTCAGTTGGTAATTTTCCAAAGCTCTCTCTTCTGAGAAGATAAAGTTGATGTGGCATTATTGAAATCTGCTTTCATTTGCCATATAATTTAAATATTGTTGAAATGTGTTTTTACTCTGGTTTCTGCTGCTCAGTTTTCACAAGTTAATATTGACAGAGATAAAGTCTATATAATATGGTTATGGGAATGTACACTTAAATATCCACAATTCCTGATTTTACAATTGGAATAAATGCAAGCCTGAGATGCTAATATATGCTCAGGATGATTTAGCTAATTAAAGGCAAAGCTAGATGTGGAACAACGTTGTTAGTTTTATAATGCTCTTTCTGTTTTATCCTATTTTTTATGCATTTGTAAAAGACTGGTTTTGCCATGTTTTTACATACTTTTTTTGGTCTTTGTCATAAATTATTTTGGGTTGGCCTAACTTTATTACCTGATACCTTGTAATGATTCAGTCTTCCCACTACTATTTCACTCCACAGTGCTGGGCACTTGGTATGAATACAGAAAGAAACCCAAATCAAGCGGTACCATAACAGTGGTCGTAGTCCGCTATAAGAAGGTCATTCAGGCGATACAGATAAAAATTCTTTAAAAATTCTCACAGAACTCTAAAATTATATTCAGGCTTCCCAGGATGAGAAGCACTGATGTAATAAAATTGTTGATTTTGTAAGTAAATATACCAAAGCCAGAGGTGCTGATTTAAGTACAAGCAGCCTAGGTAATTGGAGGCAAAACAGGTGTGGAACAAAGTCATTAGATGTGATCTCTCTGCTTTGTCACATTGCTGTACATTTATAGAATGCTTGTAGTTTACCATGTATTTACGGATGGATTTTTACTTTCCTGTAAGACTCACGTATGCATCCAGCAAACTGCTCTGGAGCTCGTTGGTCGAGGTATAGAGGTTCACATTGTTGCTGACGCCACCTCATCAAGAAGCATGATGGACAGGATGTTCGCCCTGGAGGTAACTGTCCTGCTGGAGAATAAGCCATTTATCACATTTTCATACCGATTAAGAGTATTCAATTTTTAATTGTAATGCAAGACTGACCTCTTAAGTTTAAGCTTGGTGTGACAGTATCAGACTCATTACTTTCTAGAGACTTGACTATGAACCTGCCTACCTGTCAGTTCTCACACATGCCCTGTCTTGTATTTCATTTTCTCCTCGGAGGTCGGTTTTTTAAGAAAATTTTTTTTCAGGCAGTCTAACCTGAACTGTTCAGAGATTTGCAAAGTAGAAACTTACTTGGGTTTAACTCAGTCACAGGTTAGCCAAAACTAGGGCAGAACGGGCCTCCAACTGTTCAGCCTGATAGTAGGATCTATCAGACTTGAGTTTTGGAATTACGAAATGTGTCCCTTCCTGTAGATGCCATTTACATACAGTGTTTTATCACTTTGGCACTGGAGGGGCACGATGTCCCAGTCACTGAGGAAGTCACTGATTATTGAGAACAGTTTATGTTTAATTGTTTGATCAGTCTTACCTGCCTATATTTGTTTATCCCAGTTTGAAGGTATCAATGTATAATACAACCACCGTTGTTAATTAACTAAAAAAAAACAAGAAAAAAAAATTTTCTAATGGTGAGATTAACTTAAGCATTTTCTTTTCTATTCCAAGACCGTTGAAACTTTCATAATCTTGGAAAACTTTCACTGAAAAGTGTCATGTCTCTTTCATATATAATTCTGATTCTGTAATAATTTTAGAGTCATAGACATGTGGATTTATATACATGTGGATCTAATTGCAGAATTAAGTATTTTTACTAAGAATGAGAAATAAAGTGGGTTTTGTTTTGGTTTGAGAACCTCCAGTGTTCTCTGCCCAAGCTGGCATAGGAACTGCTTTCTCTGTAGGATTGCTGAGTCATTCCTGTAGCCTGAAGTGTTCTTGGGTGCTAAGGAGGAGCAGTGAGGAAAGGGAAGGCAAGGCCAGGAAGGAAAGCAGAGTAAAGGCACTGGGGAGGGCTGGTGGCTGGAAGTGGTAATACCAGTTCGGAGCCCTGCTCCGGTGTCCTTCCTCTGTGATTTCCTACAGTAGTGAGCCTCATACTGAGATTACAGGTGGAACGAGTTTATTTTCTCAAACTATTCTCAAGTCCTTGGGGACGATGGGATCTGCTGATAGTTGTTACGAAGTGTTGCTGCCTGCAGTCTTACCAAAGATCTGTAAGCCTTTCTTAACTAACAGTCATGAGGTAATCAGCTTTCAGCGTTCAAATTTCCTTAATAACCTCAGTTTATGTACTTCACTGTCAGGTCCCTGTACCTCATTTAGCTGCTCCCTTTATGTGTGGCTCATTTTTATGTTTATGCTGAGGTACAGACCTTGCAGTACTAACAAGGAAGTAAAAAACTAAAGACATACAAATAGCACTGGCCTATAAAGACATTTCAAGGACTTTATTCCTGCATTCAGGCTTCTTAGACATGTCTTTGTTATGGCATTTATCACAGAAAGTTTTGACTGTTAGCAGTTCCACCTGCCCACAAGGCTCAGACTAACAACACAGGCCACTAATTACCATCCATACCTCACTTTTTGACAGGCCATCTGGTGTCTCTGACTAGGAGTCCAAACAGTGGGTGATGGTGGGGCTGTGGATGCAGGGGTGATGGTTCATGAATTTGTGTCCTTGAACAAATTGCACTGTCTCTATCAGAGTTCTCATTAGTGAAGTGGAAATAATAATAGCAACTACATCACAGGATTCTTTTCAGGATTAAATGAGATAGTGTGTCCATTGCAGTCAGTAGAGAGTGTGACACAGCATGTACTGCAATGCTGGCTGCTGCTTTTTAAAACATCGCTGTTGTTTGTTGTGGCTTTGAGGAGGTTAGTCTTACCTGAAATATGTAAGCTTTGCAAACTAAGACCCAGAAGAGACCTGTCCCAAGACACCCTGAGAAAGGAAGGGAAGAGTCCATTTTCTGGGTGACTGGGAAGAGCCCTCTTGGGATTGAAGTGCTGCCTTTGAAAGGGGGAAATGAGAATTAGATCAGGTCCCGTGGTGACAGCAACTCTTGCCAGACTTTAAATATTTCCCCTTAGTCGTATCTTCCTAATGGAAGTAGTTTTGTTTTAATTTACCCCTAAATATTCTGAAGAACTGAGAAGTATTATTTTTTCTTTTTTTCTATAACTAGGAAAGTTAAAACAGCAACATGGCTAGTTCTCCCTCTTTATTCCTTATTTATTTATTTTTATTTTTATTTTATTTATTTAATTTTTGGTACCAGAAATTGAACTCAGGACCGCATGTTTGCTAGGCAAGCGCCGTGCCACAGAGCTATACCACCAACCCTCTTTATTCCTTTAGAACATAACTATTTATGATAATTCCTGATACTATCCATATTGCCTATTAAAATGATTACACTCATAAGGTTTATAGTTAGTAAGTATCAGGGTCTGTGGCATATGCATTATTCAGTAAATGTGTCAGGCATTGTTTCTTTCAATCAGTAATTATACAGTAAATGCAGAATAAGATATGGTAAAACCCACTCTTGATATCCTTCTACTTATGGGTAGTTTTTAATGTTGCTTGGAAATTTAATGCCGCCCCATCTCATTGCTTTGTGTTTTTGCATTTTTAGGTTTATCGGTCAGAGAGATTTTTTCTTTGGCTAGGTGGGCTGGTTTTGCAGGTATAAAGGGAGATCTTCAGAACCATAATGCACATGGACTCCTGGGCATTAAACAACCAGAGCTTTAATTACCCCTTGTATAACCCGGGAGAGAAAGTGGGCTTGGAACCAGTATTGTCAGATGGTGTGCCGGAATTGCTGGGAATAGTTCCTGCCACTCAGGTACCCTCTCAGTTTGGAGCAGGGCTGGCAGTAGGCAAAGGTCTACCAGCCTGACATAAAAGCTTTGCATTTTGGTGTACCGCACCTTTCCTAAACACAGGTTCTTGGCTAGATTGGTTTTTTAAAACCCCATCAATATTGACCACATTCAGTTTTGAAGCTAAGTACTCTTATGTAGGTGACAGTCTGCCCAAATGTATTTCTGTGATGTGGGTGTCCTGTGTTGCCCACACTATCATCACCAGACTCAGTGTCACTGAGGATTGCATGTGGGAGGGACCAGGCTCTGGTCAGTAGGACAGTAGAAGAAGTTCCGCATTACAGACAGGCTTCTTTCGGAATCAACAGAATTCTTCCTTAGCCCTGCGTAGAATTTGCTCCCTTTCTGCCTCGTTAAAGACCTTGAGAGATGAGTGGGAACTGACATTTGTTGGCATATTGAGATAACGTGAAGCGTTTCATAGGCATCAAGTGCCTGTGACTCAGCACCAGTCTGAGTCTCCCAGAGTTCCTTGATTCACCAGTAGGGAGGGTGGCTGAGAGCTGGTGCCTGGGAGGGCGAGAGTTGGGCTGGAGAGGAGCGGACCTTCAGAGCTCTTCGCACAGCAGGGGGCTGCGCTTGTTTTGTATTCTCTGCCTTTCTGTCTGAAGCAAGCACAGGCTGTTTTGATATTTGAGCTAAAGATAAATTGACTAAAGAGCAAAAGAGTAGGAACTAGGACTTTCCAGAAGTCTTGAGAAAATTCAACCTGGCATTTGACCTTATAAAGGGCGCTAACATACTTCTCCTATTCTTTTCTGCATAACTGCCTGCTGTTTTTCCATTTCTTGAGAGTCCTGGTCAGCTGCTCTGTACCCTTTTCTGTACTGCTGTTGAGGGCTAAGCTCGCTTTCTAAGCGGCTTATGGCTTTTACTCCCTTCTGCCTTAAAAGGCGGATCCCATGGTGGAAAGATTGGGTCTGTAGATGCACAAGCATCTGCAGGAAGATTTACTTCCACTCGACAGGGACGTCTCAGCTGATCAGATGCTTATTCCTTTCTGAGGAGATACTCGTTTGGATCTTTCTCTAATTCGCCTAGGAATTATTTCTAACTGCTACTACTTCCATGTTTCTTGCAGTGGATGCTTGGGATAAATGTTTCCTCAGAGATTCTGATAACAAACAAACAGATTCAGAGAATAAATCTTCACTGTGGAATTCGTCTCTCTGCTTCTTCCCTCCCTCCCTCTTTTCCCCTTTGGTTTTCTGTTTTGCTGTCCCTCACCCCCTTGCTCCCCTTTCCGTCCTTTTTCCTGTCCCTGCTCTCCTCCTTCAGATTTCTGTCGTAGTTACTGTGATTCTGCTGGAGGAGTTTGGCAAGGACATTTTCCGCCTGTAAGGAAAACCGCACAGCTTCAAATCTTATGCTCCTGTTTAATGAGTCCAAAAAGGCTGGATGGCAGCAGAGATGGTGGCTCTGGAGGTGTACCCTTAAACCTCAGAGGAGACGCCCCTCCTCTCCTGCCAATCATTTCTAGCCCAGGATGCTCTTATTGATGGGAGGACTCACATCTTATATGTCAGATGTTCAAAGGCAGAAAAAATAAAGGATCCTCATTTTACTTGTGATAGCAGTTCTAATGCAATTAAAAACTTTATTTCTGGGAAACTGGATAATAAATTAATAATGAATTTTTTTGGTAGTTGTGGGAATCACATCAATGCATCACACATGCCTTTCTTTTACTTCTAATGCATATCACTAATACTGAGAATAATCGCAGTGAGTTTGTGGTGTGGCTGGTTTTAGAATCTTTTCGCATCACTACATTTGATGGTGTGGCTGTGGACCGTGTGTCTGTGGTAGCGGACAGTAATTATTGTGCCCCGGAACACTTTTGCTGTTATAAAATTGTTCATTCTCACACTAACTTCTTGATTGTCTTTGTTTATCTTTACTGTGAAAGCGCCTTGCTCGAACGGGGATCATAGTTACCACAAGTGAAGCTGTTCTGCTACAGCTGGTGGCTGACAAGGACCATCCAAAATTCAAAGAAATTCAGAATCTAATAAAGGCGAGTGCTCCAGAGTCAGGTCTGCTCTCCAAAGTATAGGACACATGAAGGACTGGTATCCTACCCACTATCAAGTGACAGAACTGTAAACCTAGACAAATTCTTGTCTCTACTAGAATTAAAATGTGAAGTCAAAAATGGCTCGTTTTTTGCAGCTCTTAGTAACACTTAACTAGCTAGATCATTTGGGTACCAGCATTTAGTTTCCAGTGTCCAAGGCTTCAGGTGCTGCTTACATTCTTGTTTCCTAACTGTTTTTATTTAATAAAAAAAAATTACAATGGAGGTGCCTGTTTTGTCTATTCTGTACACACTGATCAAGTGCACACTATGGTGAAGGGTTCCTAAATTGTGCATTTTAGAGAAAATATATTCCAGTAATGGTTTGATGTTTGTATTATGGTAAGATGTGTTATTTTAATAGATTCAGTGCTTTACAGGTTGATGTAATAGGATTAATATGTGTGAATTTAAACAAAGGACTCTGCGTCACGTTACCCACGTCTCGTACAGTGTCATTGACTTACTTATTGAGTGAGTTGCCTTGCTCTAACATGACCAAGTTATGTAGAATAATTATATGTCTTTCTAGATTGTTGATTTTCTTACTCTGGTCACTAATTCTCAGTTCATGTTCGTTTTTTTAGCTGAATCTCTTGCCTAGAGAGACCCACTGAATCCTTGCTTATTTTAATTTGTAAACAGAATGATTTGCAGGGCCACACAACTGATAGAGGGCCATTTAACATCACTGAGGTAGGACTTTAGCTCAGTATCTTTACAGCCATCGTGAGTACATTTCTATTATGCACAGATTTAGCAAACAGGTAAAGCCTGCATAAAATACAGTTTGAAAATGTTCATAGTCTGTTTTATATTTTGTCCACCTGCTGTCAAAATGTAAACCCAAGGCATCTGTAATGATTAGGTAGGACTAACATTGTGATCATTGTTACCTTTCAAAACATTTATTTTCTTTAAATACTTACTAGAGTGTTTTAAAACTGGGTTTCTTTTTAATAGTATGTGAAATGTGGAACATTATTGTCTTTTCTATTAAAGCAATTAAAAAAACTGCTTATGTGAATGAAGTTATTTTGTCTCCCACAAGATGGCTCTATGAGTATTTTTCCAGAGATTCTAATATTAGTTCAAAAGTAATAAAAGTTTGACATTTATAATCTTTCAACTCACGGGAATTTTCAAAGAAGAAAAATTGTTTGCAGATGGGGCAGATTGGTTCTACTGAAGGCCCTGTATTTAAGAGCAGAGCAGAAAAGTGTGTGTGTGTTTCTTGGTCAATGTTAACCACTAGCAGGTAGTATTCTTAATAGTGTGTTTAAACGTTTCTTACAAATATTTGTGAGTCAAAAAAGAAAGATTTCTCCACATTTTCAAGTAGTTTTTAATAAATTTAATGTAGAGTTTCTCAAACTTGTAAGATTGGTTCACATTATCTGATGATCTTGTTAAAATGCTGATTATGGTATTTATTTGCATTTCAAAAAAAAATGCCATTTGCCACCAGTTTGGCCCAGAAGGGACTACACTTGGAGTAAGAAGGGCTTAACTCATAACTGTTCCCTTTATTGCACTCAGACCTTTTATATCTCAATGAAATACCATGGCAGTTCAGCCTTCTCACAGCTGAAATTGTTTCTGTGACACTGAGTTAGTTTCCTATGGTTGCTATAGCAAATTACACAAACTTCATGTCTTACAGCAACAAACTGTATTAGCTTACAATTCTACAGCTTAGAAATCAGAAATGGGTCTCACTGGGCTGAAATCAAGCCTTGTCTTGCCAAGCAAGGCTGTGTTCTTTTCAGGAGCCTGTGGGGAATATTTCTTTCTTTTCGTTCCATGCTTCTAGATTTCACATATTTTGGCTTGTGTGGTCCTTTTCCTTCATCACGTAGGGATCTGCTCCTGTGTGTGTCCTGTCTGTTTGACTTAGTGGTCCCTTTTAGTTTTCTTGCTCTCATGTGATTTAAGGACAACTGATTAGCAGTTTATTCCATCTGCAAACTTGATTCCCTTTGGTTGTGTTACATACAGCGTCCAGGGAATAGGAGATAAATATTTGTGTAGGCTGTGTGATTTAGTATTTTATTTCATTCTATCGTTTGTCCCATTTGCATCTTTTTACTAGGTTATAAATTCCTTGAAGGCAGGGACTGTGGATAATCTATCCTTACCTGGAAATAGTTTGTGCCTACTCAGTTTTAAATATCATGCTCTGTACCGGGTTTAAAAAGATGCCCCTAAAAACTTAGAATGTGTTAAAAATTCAGACATATCATAAACTTTCAGTAAGGGTTAAGTTGTGTCAATTATCCAGGAACATTAATACATTAAAAGTTATGAATAGTTTAATAATATTTTTGGTAGACCATGCCAAAGTGACAAGGCTTTCTTAATATAGGAAAATAGAACTTATTTTGATACGTTAGGTCTAAAAATTGTAAGCATCTATAACTTTTAGGATAGTGAAACTCTTCATTGTACTTGAGAACATAAAGGAGTAGTAGTGCAGTGTGTTGAATCACAAAGGGGGAGAAGGGGAGAATCAAGAGGCTTCGCTTACTGAAATGTTGACATCTGTAGAAACCCAATCTGAAATTAAGTGATAACTTACTGCAGTCGGGAAACCAGATACCCTTTTATATCCATTAAAATACCATATTTCTCTCTTTAAATGGAGTGTTTTCTTCTTTTAAAAGTTGATATTTGGACGAATATGAGTTTAGAGCTTAGTAGAATTATGAATATCACAGTCGCAAAGGAACTCAGCTGTAAAATTCCAGAAGGGCTTTATTTTACAGATGCAGCCAGTGGAGTCCAGAGATCAATGACTTTTCCAAAGTTGCACAGCCAGCTGACAATTGAGGCTACTTGGCTCTTTGTCCTACACTTCCTTTACTTGATAGTGTGAAAAATGAGAAGGGAAAATAAAAGTGTGCAGAAAAGGTTACATTTTACATTTTGTATAGCATTAGACTGTTGATTAGCAAAGCTGTTGGGATATACGCATAGCTTCTTGGGGGCATACCTTCAATCTAGTCTTATTCTTGCATAGTTTTCTCTAAAACATATTTTTCTAACTAGGGAGAATGACATAGTATGGAAGTAATCATTGTCTCTCAAATATCTGCAAATCTTCCCACATCTTTAAATTGTTTGCTGTTCCTTTAATCTATAAAGATGTTTATAGATTCTTTATAGATTAAGGTATGACTGTCATTGTTTAACCCTTGATTTAAAATTGACCAGGCTGATTTTAATGAGCTATATAAATTTCTTAAATATGACTGTCTTGGTTACTTTCCTCTCATTGCTGGGACAAAATACCTGGTACCCCAATTTAAGGAAGGAAAAGTTTATTTCACTTACAGTTTATGGAGGTTTCAGTCCATAGTTGGCAGGTGACAAGGCAGAGTGGCACATGGCAGAGGGCTATAGCTCATGGAGGCAGAACACAGCAAAAGCAACAAGCACTAAAAGGGAGGAATGACTGCAAGCAGCCTCTTCCTCTCCCTTACATATGCAAACTATCCACCCCAGGGCGAGTGTAGCTCTCACACCCATAATCAATCAAACTCTAAAAGCCCGCCCCATGACCCCATGAGGCTTTGAGGGGACACAGACAACAAACCATAACATGACTGTGATGAATTTAAACTCAAATTACAGAGTAAAATAATAGAAAGTACGGAGCTAGATCTTTCTCAAATGGGAAAGGGATCAAGGGATGGATGTGGGAGGGCATGAAGGGGAAGGGGAGGAGAAAGGAATTAAGATGCATCATGTACGTGTTCCAGCTCCACACAAGGAATGTAAATATGTAATGCAAACGTACCAGTAGAAAAAGGAATACTACCAAAAAAATGGAAGTTGACCCTTTAGTGTTCTTATGTCTGTGTTGCTTTTTATTATCTTTTAACTAGTTCCTTTTGTTCCTGAATTGCAGGACATAACTTACCAAGAATATTTATTTTTTAAAAACACAGAATACTTAAATTTGCTGAGAATAGATCTTAAGTGTTCTTACTACTTAAAAAGGTAATTATGAGAAGATGGGTATGTTAACTAGCTTTAGGGTGTGTCTCAGCTGCTGTTCTGTCCTTTCTGTGACAAAATACCTGAGCCCCAGAATTAATGAAGGAAAGGTTTATTTAGCTCACAGCTTGTGGAGTCTGTAATCAGCTGGCTCCAAGGCAGGGTGGCATATGGCAGAGAGCAACAGTTCATGGTGGCAGAAAACAGCAAAAACAGCAAGAGCAAAAAGGGAGGGGTGGCAGCAGGCAGCCTCTTTCCCTCCCTTATATTGTATGCAAACTACTCGGCCCAGGACGGGTGTGTAGCACTCACATTCATAATCCCAGCATTAGACCATGCATCAATCATAAACTCTAAAATCTCACCCCATGACTGCATGAGGCTTTGGAGGAACAACCAGACACAAACCATAACATGGTAGTAATTACTTCACAGTGTAGTCACATGTCAAGATAGCATTAAATATATTCAGTTTTCATTGTACCTCAGAGTGGGAGAAAGTCAGTTATATGCCTATTTTATGACTTGGAGTATAGAGATAATTTAGTAATTCCCACTGAACAGATTACACCCTGATTGGCTGGCTGTGTGAGACAGTACTGAAGCGGCCTCCCAGAATCCCCCATCCTTGGTGTGAGCACACTTTCTCTTGCAAAGCACAGATCTATGTTCCTGGATACAGCAGTAAAAGGTTTCTGCTGACATACTTCAAGTCTCAAAGCAGTTTGAAGTAGGGAGACTTTGTAGTCCTAATCAAATGAGCTTGTAAAAGGGAGTGGGCCTTCCTTGAGGAGTGTCAAACTGAGAGGGATTCTACGTTATGGGGAGCGCTGCTGACTTTGAAGATGGACAGGTCTCCGTCTGTGGATGGAGAGCAGCTCTGAACGCTGGTAAGGAAACAAACTGCTATCCACCCACAATAACTTTATTTAGTGAGCAACCTGAAGAAGCTTGGAAACACATTCTTCCTCAGTCTGGCTGATGCCTTGATTTCCATCTCATAAGACCTGAACAGAGAATCAAGTGTGTCTTAGACTTCTGACCCAAGAAGCTGTGAGGTAATAAGTTTGTGTTTTAAACTGTTAACTCTGGTACATTTGCTAATAGAAAACTAATACAACTGGTCTGTTGTTGGCTTTTCTGAAAATGTAGCAGCCATTTCACTTGGAGAGAGTTTTATTAAATGTGGGTTTTTTTTTGTCATTGCAGAAAATAGTCAACTTAGAGTACACCTGTCATATCAAGCTTCATTTCTTAATAAAATTGTTAGTTGCACAGTATATTTTACTGTTCAACTTTAAAAGTCACTTAGGTTCAGATGGGTTCATTGTTCTCGCAGCTGCTTGGTAAATTGTTCCTCCCATGTCAGACAGTGAATACAAGCAATGAGAGGTGATGTGTCTCAGAACCTATACTTTATATTGAGCATTCATTCATTGCTGGTGTGTACTGGGCACATGCAGATTTGACTGGGGTTCTGGAAAATGCATATCTTGCTTTTAAGACACTGTGTTTGGCAGCCCTAAATGAAAATATAGAGAACTTTATAAATTGAAAAGAAATCTGGATATATTCCAAAAAATGAAGACCATAGAAAGAATACATGAAACACATGAATGAAGAAAAGCAAATATAAATTTTTTAGTCACTATTGCAATTTTAGCGTCTTTTAGAGAAGCATTTACTTCTATGACAAGAAATATAAATGCTTTATCCTTTTGGAGAATCTGATAAAACTTACATAGCCTCTGTTTTACGGTGTCAGTATTGGAAACAGCAATTTATTCTTGCAGATAGATGCGAGCTTAAATAAAATAGGCTATAACAGATTGTGTGTGTGTGTGTGTGTGTGTGTGTGTGTGTGAGAGAGAGCGCACAGATTCTTTTGTCTTCAAACTCAATTTTAAAAAATTGTGGTTGATGAAGAGAATTGGGAAAGAAGAAAAATGGGGATTTCCTATTCCTACAACAGGAAAAGCAGCCTGTTGTTATTTGGTGAGCTGTATAATTAAAAGCAC